AGCTTACGTTCGTGGATACGAAGACGAAGGGGACGTCCACTTTGGCCGATGTAGGGTTTTACGCAGTTGTTACAGTTTATTTTGTAGATGATGTTACAAAATAAACTGTAACAACTGCGAAAAACACTACATCGGCCAAAGTGGACGTCCCCTTCGTCTTCGTATCCACGAACGTAAGCTAGCCGTCAAAAGACATGATATCTACTCCCTCATTTCACTACACACAGACAACTACGGACATCGATTCGACTGGGACAACGTTCAAATATTAGACAAAGGAAATAACAAGAATGCTAGAGAATTTTTAGAAGCTTGGCATTCCAGTGAATCATCAATCAATAGACACATCGAGATAGACAAAAGTTGTCAACCAATAAGAAAGAAACTTCACACACAAAGGGTCAAAGTTCAAGTCAAAGAAACAACCGGTTCCAATACAAGTAACCTAGAAGGTGTGAAAACACACACAAACAACCAATCACGTCCAAGGTGGTCACCAGGAGAGATGATTAATAAACTCGTGGAGAAATCTAAAAGCTCACTTCATGAAATTGAAGTATGCGCTGAAGATGTCACCCAGTAAGGTGATGAAAGCTTCGCAAACTAACCATCCAGCACAGAGAACAAAACCACATCAAAATCATCCACCTGAGCTATAAATCTTCTCTATCATATCTAAGTCCACCTTTGTTGGCTCCTTTCCACATATCCGTCAACCGTTTAGTTTAATGTAACAGGCTTTCCGGCTGCATTTGTCTCAAAATGTAACAAAAAGGATTGATATTGTCTCTTTTTTATGCCGACTGTTATGCGGAAGTATGCGCTGAAGATGTCACCCAGCAAGGTGATGAAAGCTTCGCAAACTAACCATCCAGCTCAGAGAACAAAACCACATCACAAAGAAAGAAGACAGAAATGTGGAAAGAACAGCACCTCAAGGGACACCGGATACATTTAATAAAGTATGGAATGACTTTCCATTATACACAATGTACTGCTTCTTACCAGACGAATAAGATTGTAACCATCAATTTGTCAAACACACCGTTTGTTCCACAGCAAGCGTTTTGTAAAAAGAAGCCTAGACAAAGACTCATAGACCTGTCTAATCTGGAAAGGCACATAGAACACCCTCAGAACCTGTCTGTCTAAAGTGAAGACAGTATTATAGTGTAAGACAACAGCGTTGGCATCTACATTACACATGCCATATTTGTGAGAATAATCTTTTGCGTCATTAAAAGCTGTCGATTACGGTTCGGTGGATAAGTAAGAGCAATGCTTTGCTTATTTCAAAAAATGGGGAGGTGACAGCAATAGGAGTAAATTTAACACACAATTTAACTGATGATTTAGTTATGAGGAAAAATGTATTGTCCCATTGCAAAGCAAAACAATTTTATAAAAAGACGCATTCAAGATACTTCAGTAAGAGAATGCCATGGATGATTCTCATCCAGGCATTGAAGAAAGGAGCAAAACAAGTTGTTTAGTAGTGTGTCTCTTTTCTGTGGAATTATATTCTCCATTAACTGTCTAACTACAATAATATGGTTTTCTTCACGGAAGAGGATAATAATAAAAGTGTTGAGTTGTTTTAAGGACAGTACAATTACTTACAAAAATAACTGATTCGATTATATTATATTATTATTGCTCCCTTGGGTTCCTAGTGGAATATAGGGCTTCAACTGCACGTCTCCACTTGCTTCCATTTTCTGCTGTACTTTTCCCCTGCATCCATGTTATTCCATACTCTTTCAGCTCTTCTTCACACGATCTCCTCCATGTAACCTTTCCACTGACGTCCCACTCGCTGCTTTACTTTCGTGTTCGAGTCGAGTTATGGCCTAACGCGCGATGTCAACCAGGGGCCTCCTCAGCGAGTATCCAATCCGTCTTTCATATGAGGTAAATATTGCCTTCCAAAGGTCTAGTTTTTCTTCTACAACAGGCATACAACCGTAGAACTCTGTCAGTTGGCAGTAACATGTAGGTTACCTAGGGATTGGCCTTCTTAAGGACCCATAAAGTCTACTTGTCACTTCCACAACAAGAAATGGAGATATTCTACAATTTAAGAGTGAAGATGATAAGTTCACCGACAAGATCCTTTCAGCTGAAGAACTAGTCTTTGAACAAATAAAAAAGAAATATTGGCACAGAATTATCAAGACTGGAGGAAAGGTTACCTCGTGAAACTACCAAAGAAGGAAGACTTAGGCCTCACTGTGCAAGAACTGGCGAGGAATCGTCCTCCTGTCGACGCCAAGTAAAATCCTGGGTCGCATCATTCTGGAGAGATTAAAGGACGCACTGGATACAGAAGTACGACCAGAACAAGCTGGATTCAGGAAGGGCAAATCATGTTGTGACCAAATTGCAGCTCTACGCATCATGAAAACATAACAAGGTATGGAAAGGCAATCAAACCCCTACCTCAACTTTATAGACTTCAAGGAGGCCTTCGACAGCGCTGACCACGAAGTAATTTGAAAACTACTTGAGTACTATGGCATAACCCAAATATTCATCAACCTTATTCAACAGCTGTACGACAACAACGGCACATGTCAAGTGATCTACAACGGAAAACTCAGCGAGACGTTTGGAGTAAACACAGGATTCAGACAAGGGTGGTTGTTATCACCAGTTAGATCTCTTATTGTGGTGGACTGGATTATGCGTCAGACAGTGGGAAACGAGCAGAAAGGGATATCCTGGACAGATGTGAAGAACATAGAAGACCTGGATTTCGCGCGTGAATGATTTCTGTTTAATGTCACACACACAAAATTGAAGACTTGCAAGCGAAAACCGACAAACTGGTTGAAGAAGCAGCCGATAAAGACAGGACTCCGTGTGAACATTGACAAGACGGAGGTGATGAAAATAACAAGCCAACTAACAACAGCAACAACATCCAGCGCCAATCATCATCAACGAAGCGATTTGAAAGAGGTTACTTCATTCACTTATCTAGCATTGAGCATTGTCTCAACTACAGAAGGAACGGACGAGGATGTCAAATCGAGAATCGGGAAAGCGAGAAACACATTCATCAACCTGAAATCAATCTGGAATTCTTCGCCACTCAGCATCATCAACAAAATTCGGATTTCTAGTACAAACGTAAAGTCAGTTCTTTTATATGGATCAGAAACTTGGTGGGTCACAAAGAATATTTCCAAAAGGTTGCAAACCTTCATTAACAACTGTCTTCTCTCGCTCTATACTGAAGATCAGGTGGCCAGGCCAGAAAGAATCACCAACAAGAAACTATGGGAATAAACAAAACAAGAACCAATCGTCCAGCAAGTATGCAAGAGAAAAGGAAGATGGATTGGATACTCGTTGGGGAGGCCCCTGATTGACATCCGGCGTCAGGCCATAACTCGACTCGAACACGAAAGTAAAGCAGCGAGTGGGACGTCAGTGGAAAGGTAACATCGAGGAGAGTTGAATTGATAGATACAATTAGAAGTGGCTAATCTAGGTACTTCATCTTTCAGTCAAGGAACCACCATCGGTCGTGTAGAGAATAAGACGTGTAGTTCGCCAGCATTACAAGTTCCTTAAACTGATTTTCTTAATCTCCTCGTAATCATCTCACTTGGTATATCGCTCTTGAATTGTAGTCGAATATAAAGTGGCTTCTCGTTACAGATAGTGAGTAGTCCTTTTCCGCTTTCTTTGTCATTTGCTCTTTGATAAATTTGTCCGGATATGTATTTTTGATCAAAGTATCATATACAAAAGAAGCAAATCCAGCTGGCCACTACTACTGCTCTGGCCAGCCTTCAGTAGAGACTATAAATTCATGAATTCGTAATATTATCTTTCCTTTTTTTTCTGACATTCAGTGTGTATTTTTAAGTTGATGCTATTGAACTGTAATCCATTGATATTATTATTAATTCGATGTTATTTAAAGAACATTACTGTTGTTCATGACACTAATTGATTCATTCATTCACTATAATGTGTATAAAAAACTGTAGAGCCTGATGATGAAGAGGGGGTTGAAGAAGAGTTGCAAGAGTATGGATTAAAATGGATGCAGGAGAAAAGTACAGCAGAAAACGGAAGCAAGTGGAGACGTGCATTTGAAGCCCTATATTCCACTAGGAACCCAAATGAACAATAATAATTATTATTTTATTTCGTTGGTTCTCGTCAGCTGCGTACAATCTCAGTTTTATAATAAAAATAAAAAGTGTAAAATTTTAGTAAACCTTTGTCCATTAGCAAGCACATTGTCAGAGCCTCATAGTGAAATAAGGCGTTGCGATTTACAGGGTGTCTAAAGTGTGACAATATATATATGTCTTCTTATAGAGAAGTTTCTTGAAAAAAAAACTAATTAACAGTTGTGTTGTTGGGTCGGCAACAAAAGACAGTTAGTGACAGTTACACAATTACATAAGAGAAGATCAAAATTCTTAAATTTCGGCACACATGAAGTCAGATGAGAAGTTGATGATGTAATACAGTGAGAAGAATTCAGAAGATCAAGAAAACGTATCTTTTAAGACAGCCAAGCAAAAAATAAAGGGGGGGGGGTGTAGTGAAAAGATAAGTTAACAAAATTACCAATTAAATTAGAAAACAAAGAGTTGCTAAAAAATTGAGTCACCAGGGTAATTGAAGCCCGACCACGGATTCTTTTTGTACACGTAAGTCAGTTTTTTAGTGACCTTAATTATAAGCACATTTTTCTATGAAGATAATAATGAGTGATCCATCTAGATCCTGGAGATTAGGACTTAGGTGCTAAAGACTGAAGATATTTAAGAACGCCTTTCTTTTCTTTTTAATACGAAGAGAAGTACAGCATTTATTCTTTTCCTTTAATAGGTAAATCATAATAAATATGTGTTAATAGGATAAATAAACAAATGGAGAAAAAAATGGATGAACCAATAGAAATGTAGATTTGGTTTTTTTCCCAAATATCTGTACATTTGTCTTCCCTTTAAGCAGACTAGTTGGTTTTTCTACTGATCTACTAGGAAATGACTTAAGTGATTCTTTAAATGATTGGTCTACTGTCTAATCACAATGTTTAGTGGGATTAGTTTTTCCTCGTCATTGTGTTACCTAACAACGCAACGCAGCAACAGTATAAAATGAAGCGTCTATAATGAAAATCATGAGGTTTCGTAACACTAAATAAGTACAGAAAAATGTTTAATTATTGAATTCAAAAATTTTAAACATAAAAATCATGGGCTCAGTAGAACAGCTGACAAGTATGGATAATCAAGTTCCTGGTGGTGGAATCTCTCTTCCACTAAAATCAGTTGATAGCTATTCTATAGACACTGGTGATCCAGATATCACTGTCAATATAGATTGTACAGAACCTTCAGAAGCATTAAAAGAAAATATCATAGATGGAAAGTTGACCTACAGAACTGTTGGTCTAGAACATTCAGTTTCCTATCCAGCTGCATCATCACCATCATCGTCAGAAAGACTTCCACCACCAGAAGTAACATCACAAGACACTGGATTCAGTATGCTATCCAACTTTCGTAGACGTCTTAAACAACATTTGACGCCTGGTAGAAGTTCTTCCCTACACAAAAGTATGCATGATTTATCTTTATCTCCGAAAAAGACAACCTCCTCGCCGTCGACTTCATCTTCATATTCATCAAAAAATGATACGGACAGTGTAAAATCAGCCTACACAACTTCACCATCCTCATCGAGTGGAAGTAAATCCAATTTAACACAAGATGTCCCTGAGGATATAAGTGGGATACAGAAAGAGCATGAAATTGCTCTACAGAATGTTTCCTCGCTAACTGAGGCTCAAGTTCAGTTGCTTCAGTCTACTTGGAATTTAGTTAAACAACATATTGAGAAGATTGGAGTCATCACATTTTTGGGGTGAGTCACCAGTACTTTGAAATTTTTATTATACGGGCATTATATGCAGGTTTTGTACTTTGTATTGCAATATTTACTTGTTCTGATGGCAGTTGGAATATATTTTACATCTTTGCTGAGTGGGACGAAGATATGTTTCAGCTTCCTGTTTCCACCACAATCCCGTTTTTGACACCGCTTTCGCTGGACTCCCACAAACTTTCTGTCGTCTGAAGACTGGTGTTGATCAGAGTCCCCAGCAGCTTGTTGGAAAGTCCTTTCAATGAGTGAATAATAATAAGGGCAGTGCCTTGAGAGTAGCTTAAAATATAGTTCCAGAAGGAATCACATTTTTACAATGTACCATTCTCTGTGATGGACGTAAATCTAAATAACTGAATTCTGACACATGATGATTTCTCTGAAGGTCTCAAATGCTTCCCTATTCCTTTTGGCATTTGACTGAGTCAACTTATTTAATATTGATTTCTCATTTTGAATTAATCAGCGTCACATGTCTACCCCTTAGTGGGGCTCAGTTTCTTTGTGATTAACAAGCTACGAAACTCATCATAATGGTGCACTTTTTAAGTCCATATGGCAGGAATTCTTTGATCTAGGATCGATACCCACTGGCATTCCTTAGAAAGGCATCTTTGAAATGTTTAGCAAATTTATATCTCATGTTAGTGATTTACCCGCCCTACTCATTTCTGCATTAAATGATGTTAAGATTCAGTTGTGATTGACGTGATACAGGACGGGTAATTACTATACGAACTGTTAACTCATAGGGAGAATAAGCGTCACTCAAATACACCATGTTTATAGGAGGCAGTATAAACAAAACCCAGATTAAGGGATTCCCTGGCGAATGTCGGTAATCATCTAGAAATAATTAGAAGATTATGTTTTGTCAGTATGTGTGAAGGTTTCCCCACCCTATTCACACCCACTAAATATTTACACACTGATAGTATTCAGCGAGTTAATGCAGATCATTCAGTCCAACTAATTATCACTCATACCAGGAATTTTGTTGCGATACCTTAGGTTCATTTTCTGATTTCACAGTTTATCTCTTCAAAAGTAACACTGTTTATCATTTTTGACGTTAAGGAATTATTTGTATGACTTGACGTTGAAATATTAAGAAGACATTTTCCAATTTGTTGCCTATATTCTCGAAAAGCTTTGAAAATATTTCCTATATTCGATGTATATCAAACTGTGGGAGAATATTACTTACTGAATGACGTTTTCAACACTATTCATTCTTCATAATCACATCAATTATGAAAAATTATGAAAAGTACTTTTATAACTTCTGTATTTTGGTGAAAAGTATCAGTGTCACTTTGGTAAATTCAGCAAAATATTTGCCTTAAAATTTAAAGAAAAACTATATTTAATGAACTTAGTTTTCACGAAAATCACTCATCCAGACATGAATATAAGAAAGAAAAAAACAGTTCAGCAAAGAGTCTCTGTTCGTTGGCGAATTCATTCACTTAGCTGTACAGTATATTTTTATGTTTTTGCATGTGTGTACATTGGGTTTGTCAGACGAGAATAAAAAATGAGCTAGGTTTATTCTGATGAATAATTAAATTGCAATTAATAGGGTGGAGACTGGAAAATCCTGACTACAATCATGTAACATTTAGGACATCTGCTCTATGCGTCGTTGGCACAGTGGTTAGGACCATGCACATGGTCCGAAGTCCGATCCCCTGCCAACGCACACCTGATATCTATGGTCAGCCTGAAAAATTTGGGCTACCAATATTCATGCTGAAAATTCCATTCTTGTACCAAAAATACGGTGTGGAATCAAGCTGTAATCAAAAATATAAAAAAAATTAATCTTAACAAACTGGTTAGCACTCGCGATGTGTGCAACATAGCACTGAAATAGAAACCAAGTCAGAAATTAAATACCTGGGCGTTATTCTATCTGCTGATCTTTCCTGGTCGCCTCATATCTTGATGATTTCTAAGAAATATCCCGTCTTACCTTCTACATTAGGAAGTTAAGAGATTCTGGAATAACCCAACCCTTACACCTATAATTCGTTAACTCCCGTATTCTGCCTATTATTCTCTGTTGTCCCCCCCTAGTTTTCCCTGGGCTACTGAAGAAACGCCATACCTTATTTAGCAGGATGTTAAAAGTTGTCAGCAGGGTAAGCTACGTGCCACTTTACCAGCTTGTTAATATTCTGGTTTACAGGCACATGGGAGCATATGGAAAATAGGCAAAATCCATTTTATCTAACTCACAACACCCTCTTCATTCACAACCCTCCCCTTGTATCTCATCAGGCAAAACCAGAAGCTCATACAGGAAACTATATGCTCGCACCAGCAAGTACCAAAGCTCAACCATACGCTACTTGGCTCATGTTTTGTGCGATAAAGAGAGCATTAGGCGTGATATCCATAACTTATTAAATAGTCAGTAGAACAACTGGATCTCGTCTTTTTTCAACTCATATCATTTATAGGTAAAACGTTTTCTTTCTTTCTTTTCCTTTTCTCCCTCTTTTTTTCTGTTATGTGCAGCTTTGTTTATTTCTTTCTGTTTACGCCAGTAAATAGGCTAGAACCTACAGCTACACATTTTAATTATCGTTACTCTTATCACTTGTATATGCATATTGACTGAGCAATTATTTAGTGTCATTTAATAACTCTTTCTGTAATATAAATACTACTGTAGAGTTGGCTTGAAAATGAAGTCGTTGAAAAGGAATTTCTTCGCAGAACAAAAAATCTGTGGCTTTAGTTATGAGTAAATAGGTATTTTTCTTTTGTTTTAGATAAAACATGCATCGAACGACCATTACACATCGCTCGCGCCACACGAGCAGGGTATTTTGGTGGACACATATAGAAGAGTTTTTAATTGCATCATTTTCCTCCTTCGTGTCTTATTAAATTTTTACGACGCATTACCACTGCAGTTAACTTGATTCGCGTTCAAATTCTCGCCGATTTTTTTACTCAGTCCCGTCAATTTTATTTCTTCACTCAATATCCTTATTAAATGTTGTTCCAATCTCAATCCTATCAACGCTTCCTACATTACGTAATTTGATATATGATATTTTCAGTTCTAATGACATCTTTAGAAGTTTTGCTTTTGTTGCTGAGTATACACATATATATGCGATTGCACAGCTTGGTAATGATATCGCCAAAAAGATTTACTATTTGCCGAACGCCTTTTCTTTTATAATTCTATTGAAAGAGATGAAAAGGGTATCTTCGGGAATGTGAATATTCATCGTTTGCTGAAATCAGTCTTTTCCTCAATTAGTTATAATTCATGATGTATGTACGAAAGAATTTTAAAGCTATAAATGGCATGCTTTCAAATAACGGTTCATTTCTCCCTACGTAAACTACATCTAAATTTTAATCAGTCTGATGAATACTAATAGACTGTTTAAAATAGATACAACTGTAAAGGATTTTATGACTTCATCAATTAATACTACTTTATGTGATTTAAGTAGTGCAGTCTACAAACTGTACATATGTGTATGAGCACATGATTTCAACTGTCATCTTCATAGAGTTATATTTGTTGAATGGCTTGAATATAGCCTTTAATAATAATTAGTAATAAAAGGTTATATGTCCAAACCAAGTTCACTTTTAATGGTTGGAAAAAATTTGGTTATTGGGTATATGATATTCATTATAATAAAGTTTTGTTTTGTATTTCCCAATGAATGAAAAACAAAACGATATTGTTTTTACTGACGTCTTGCTATTTAATGCTAATAGCTTTATCATAGTATTATTCTATTATTTCAGGATTTCATCATGAGCTGACATTAGTTAGAGAACCATTGGAAAACCTGAGAGTACTGGACAGCTGTTTCGTCCCAGTTTGGAGCTCTTTAGCAGTACGCACCCACCGGGACTCGAACCCAGGACCTTCCGGTTACAAGGCGAGCCAGCTCGTATAACATTAAGCCACTGGGACCCGATCCAGTGGTCGTTGAATTCTAACTTCTGCCAATTCACGACATAGCGCGACCGCTAGCCAATGTCTTCGGCGAGTATTTGTCCTCACACTCGACCGGCTGCACCCTACTGGTCACGACTTCCCACTGGAACCCCTACCTACCTCGTGAATTGGCAGAAGTTAGAATTCAAGGACCATTGAATCGGGTCCCAGTGGCTTAATGGTATACGAGCTAGCTCGCCTTGTAACCGGAAGGTCCTGGGTTCAAGTCCCGGTGGGTGCGTACTGCTAAAGAGCCCCAAACTAGGACGAAACAGCTGTCCAGTACTCCCAGGTTTTCCAATGGTTCTCTAACTAATGTCAGCTCATGATGAAATCCTGAAACCAGTCAAATCCCTACCAACCAACACTTAAATATTCTATTATTATAATACTTTGATAAAGCTCTAAACAGCGAAACGTCAGTAAAAACAATATCGTTTTGGTTTTCATTCATTGGGAAATACAAAAACCTTTATTATAATAAAAGGTTATATATATATATGTATTTTTGGCATTTTCTGACATCTCCTTTTATTCTTCTTAATATTGAGTTGTCCTAATCCACTTTTCAATATATTCCTAAGCTCCTTCAACGGTGTAATCGTCTATGTCTACTGTATAGGTTGTGTTAATCTTCATTGCGACTAGTTTTTTGACATTATACAACTTAGACTCCTCCACATTGAAGATACATTCCTGGAGTTGTACTGAGAAGTCATAGGCAGTGGATTTCACCGTGTCATCGTGAAATAGAAGCTCATTGATGACACTAGTTGTTGGTAGCACTGTATGTTACAAACTGAGAAAGGTTAGAATCCACTCGTCAATCAATACTGGTTCAAGAGACTTATAGAAAGTCACAGAGTTTCATCTTGTGAATTAATGGTGCTTGGTGTTCTTTATTGATTAAATAATCAGTTTTCGCTTTTTTACTCCAGCTAGCTGACACATATCTCACTCTGAGGTTTTTTTATTTCTTCTATTTTTTCATTCTCTGTCT